CTCCTCCTCCTCCTCCTCCTCCTTATCCTCCTCATCCTCGTCCTCCTCCGCCTCCTCCTCCTCCTCGTCCTCCTCCTCCTCCTCTCCTCGTCCTCCCCCCCTCCTCCTCCTCCTCCTCCTCCTCCTCCTCCTCGAGGCGTGCGCAGGGCGGCCTCCGCACCGAGTCCACCCTCGTCCTCCTCCTCCTCCTCCTCCTCCTCCTCCTCCTTCTCCTCCTCCTCCTCCTGCACCGGCGTCCCGCCCTCGTCCTCCTCCTCCTCCTCCTCCTCCTTCAGCACACCCTCCTCCTCCTCCTCCTCCCTCCTCCTCCTCCTCCTCCTCCCTCTCCCTCCCTCCCTCCTCCCTCCCTCCCTCCCTCCCCCCTCCCTCCTCCTCCCTCCCTCCCTCCTCCCTCCCTCCCCTCCCGCTCCCTCCCTCCTCCCTCCCTCCCTGCTCCCTCCCCCCTCCTCCCTCCCCTGCTCCTCCTCCTCCTCCTCCTCCTCCTCCTCCTCCTCCTCCTCCTCCTCCTCCTCCTCCTGTATATCTGAAGTATGTGGGGAGCACGGCGCAGAAAAAGATGGCGAAGAACGGGGGACCTCTGAGAACGACCCCTGCTGGGGAGTGGATCGCTCCAGGGGGCGGGACGGAGCCCGGCGAACGAGAAAGAGGTCGGGGGAAACCTTGGGAGCGAATGCCTGGAGCTGCTCGCAGAGGCCGACGACTCCGCGGTAGCCAGGCAGCCTTCCCACTCGGAGACGACGACTCGCACTGCACTGGGCAGGATCTTCCCACCCAAGGCGGGCGAACAGCGCGAAGCCTCTCTATTGAGGAAAAGCCTCTAACCGCTCGCCTGCAGGAGGAGGAATCCATCCGCTCTGCCTCACTGCGACCCTCCCTCCGAACACGGTCCCCACCCCCGTGCGGTAACTCGACCTCGCGCGGAAGGGCGTGCGCCGACGGCCCCCCGGGGGCGGGAGGACGGCCCCCCCATCACCGAGACCAGAGCAGAGAGCAGGCAAGCAGTCAGCCCGCATACAGCGGAGGCCTGTCCACAAGAAACCTTCCACAAGAAGCCCAACCGTGAGACCCCGGGACGTCCATTGATTTTTGGTGTGGGAGCGTCACGCTTTCCGCAGCAAGACCATGGAAACCCAAGAAACCCAGGGCACCCTGGAGGCAAGCAGGGTGTTTCCTGGCATGGGTCTCCAATGTACCTCCTCGGCCCCTCCCTGGCCACTCTCGCTGGCCGCGCCCCGCTCGAACAGCTTCGAAATGGGCGTCCGAGGCCCCTGCGTCCTCATCGCGCATCCGTATGAGACGGGCCGACTCTAGACAGACAAGAACACCAAAGCCCAACGAGAGCACGGCACCAGAGCAGACCACGACGTCGGAGGCCTGGGCGGTCGGGCGGCGAGCCAAGAGGGGGGGGGCGCGCTCAGGAGGGGGGGCGCAAATCGTGGCCCGAGGCACGTGCGCGGCCCAGGGAGGGGGGGGGGGGGGGGGGGGGGGGGGCGAACGACGCATCGAAAGGAGAAGAGGAGGGGGCCATGAGACTATGGGAGATCTCATGGCCCCCGCCGCGATGTTCCCCCTCCCCCCCCCCCTCGAGATCCGACGTTGCAGCAAAAATGCAGCATCCCAGAATCTCGCAGCCGAAGAGCCCCGGACACCATCTCTGAGGGCCCCGGGGCCCGACGAGGGGCGAACACGCCCGCCTGAGCCTCGAAAGAGTTGACACGCCAGGGCCGCCAGGACCCCAGGGCCCCCCCCCCCCCTGGCCAGCCGCCCCCGCGCAGAGCGAGGAGAGGGGCCCTCCGGGCTCGCCGGGCGGCGCCCGGAAGGGCGGGCACGCGCGGGCTCTTGCCCTCACGGAGGCCACGGCGACGCGGGAAGGCCCAGCGACCCCCCCCGGGGGGACGCCCGGCGCGGCTCGGGGCCGTCGGGGCGGCAGGGAGCTGCTCACCGCCGGGGGGCCACGTCTCGGCGGCGAGGGCGGGGGGGGCGGTGATGAAGGAGCAGGCCTTCTCAGAAGGCCGCGGCGCTTCTCAGAAGCCCTCGCGCCTGCTGAGAAGCTCTCGGCGTCGTCCGGGGGAGGCTCGGCAAACATCGCGGAGCCCTCCGAGAACGCCAACCCCATCTCGCTTCCCCCCCTGTCTCGCCGCCGATCTGCATAGGGCGCGGCCGTACAACAAAACCACCGCATTTGCCTGGGAGGGGTCATAGAAGAGCACCACGGGGGAGAGGGTCCCGGGCCTCCGTCGCCGAGTCGCTGCTACAGTGCATCTTCGCATGTGCATCATGTGCTGCAATCCTCCTCCTCCTCCTCCTCCTCCTCCTCCTCCTCCTCCTCCTCATGCTCCTCCTCCTCCTCATGCTCCTCCTCCTCCTCATGCTCCTCCTCCTCCTCCTCCTCGCTTCCCTTGGGGCTCACCGCCGACCTTCGATGCCGCTCCGAGCGTGTGCCAGCGCCAACATGCGCTTGCCCACTGGGGAGCCCTTCGGTATACGGCGTGGGCAGGGAGAGTGAGGGCCCGCACGGGCTGCACACTGTTGGAGGAGCGCTACACACGGGGAGACGACGCGCACACGCACTGGGCTGGGCGGACGCGCGTCCTGAGGATCCTCGGCCCATGTCTGATGGGCCAATCTTCCTTCATCCCTCACCACTACCATGGGTAGGACGGGGGAGATCTATTCCTCCTACCTCCTTCTACCTCCTCCTCCTCCTCCTCCTCCTCCTCCTCCTCCTCCTCCTCCTCCTCCTCCTCCTCCTCCTCCCTCCTACCCATGGTGGTGGTGGTGATGGAAAATCCTCCCGTTAATGTCGGGGACGCACTGACCCAGGTCAATGCAGACCCGGGTCAGTCAGGCCTTGCAGGATCCTGCAGGATCCTGCAAAATCCTGCGCCCAAGCCCCGGTCAGTGCACCCCTGGTCCTGCAGGACCAGGGGTGCACTGACCCTACAGGGCCAGGGGTGCACTGACCCGGGCTCGGGCGCAGGATCTTGCAGAATCCTGCAGGAACTTTCAAGGCCGTACTGACCCCTGGCCGTTTGCATTGACCCGCGTCTCCTGAGACCCGACCATGCAAATGAGGCTGGTTTCTGGCCTCGGGAGCGTCTTGAGAGCGACTTGGGATAAGAAGCTGGCCCCTAGAAGAGGGAGTCGAGAGGTCTGGGGGAGAGCGGCCACTGACTCGGCAACAGAGGGGTGCCGGCCAATGAGCGAGGAACGAAGACGATGGGGGGGGCAAGGGGAACGAGAGGAAGGGGGGGGGGAGGCCGGCGAGGACGACGAGGGAGGAGAGCGAGGAGACCGAGGCACAAGGGGACGCGCGACGACAAGGAGGGAAGGGAGCGAGGAGCGACCTCGCGAGGGGCGCGCCGAGGGGCGCGCAAGCCCGAGGGCACCGAGGCGGGGCCAGCCCCTCGACGCGTGCGGGACATCCTGGACCCCTGGCATAGACGGCAGCGCGAGCAGGACGCGGACGAAGAGGAAGGGAAGGAGGAGGAGGAGGAGGAGGAGGAGGAGGAGGAGGAGGGGGAGGAGGAGGAGGGAACGAGGAGGAGGACGAGGAGAAGGATGATGATGACGATGATGATGACGATGACGATGACGATGACGATGACGATGACGATGAGGAGGAGGAGGAGGAGGAGGAGGAGGAGGAGGAGGAGGAGGAGGAGGAGGAGGAGATGAGGGGGGAAGCCAGGACAAGGGGGTAACTGATTATTTGCTCGGCGACCTTTGAAGGATTGAGGTACCTCCAAGAGGGGGTAGCTAGTTATTCATTCCCGCGGCAACCGCCGCGCAACAACGACGACGACTACGACGAGGTTTTAGGAGGGGGTTTTAGGACGATTCCTATTCACCGCCGAGAGAAAATGGGGCGGGGACCAAAACTAAAGATCTTTAGCGGTTGTCATGTCGGGCGCCGCGGTCGTTCCAAAGCGCCCCAGAACGCTCTGAGAGCGCTCCAGGACGCTCTGGACCGGTGAATCCCTGGAGCTGCAGCTTCTCTCCCAGATCGGCCGTGGATTGCCCCGCCGAGGCCCAGATGCGGCGAAAAAGCACCGAGATTGCCACACCACCGCATCGTCGGAGGGAAGGGGGAATCCTCCTCCTCCTCCTCCTCCTCCTCCTCCTCCTCCTCCTCCTCCTTCTCCTCCTCCTCCTCCTCCTCAAAGGGGGGGGGGGCCAGAAACCGTAAACAGAAACGTTCGGAGGTCCACCCAAGTGTCCTGCATCGACGCTGGGCCCCCCCCTTCCCCTGCGTGCGAGGAGCGGCTGCCGGAGGGGGCCGGCGAAGGCGCCGAGCCAGGGAGCCCAGCGCAACATCCAAGAAATCTGCGCTCAGCTCCAGAAGTGGAATCTTTTAGAGGAAAAAGAACTATGCACATGCACCGATTCTGGCCAGGCCCATCCTGAGCCCAGGATCGGTGCATACGCCCTCCTACCTTGGCCAGGAAGGCATATGCACCGATCCTGGGTCAAAGATGGGCCTTGCCAGGATCGGTGCATGTGCATAATTCTCTTCGCCCGATCTTTCGTGCAGTTCCTTGCTCTTCGGAGCTCGGGCCAGGGTGCTGGAAAGGCGCCCATGCAGCACCGTACCGTGCCTGCGCTCCCTGCAGGCCCCGTCCCAACGCGGTGCGGTGCTCAGCGTTCGGGCCCCCGGGGGGGCCCCACAGCCGTGCACCGCACCGCTCCCGGGCCGAGGATCCACGACGCCTCGAGGGGGCGCCCACGCGGCACGGCGAACGCGCTTCACCCGCGGACGGGGGTATCCCTGGCGACACCCGGCAGATGTCTGGGCCTCCCTCTCGAAGGCGGGGGCTCCTCGGGGAGGGGGCCCTCGGGACGAGAGGCCTCGAGCAGTGCAGATCCGCCCTGGGGCCCCTTCCTGTCCGTACAGGGCCCCCTCCCTCGGGACCCCGCCTCCGAACCGGCCCGGTCCTCGTGGCTCGAGCACGAGGCCCCCGTGCCACCGGCGCGAGGGAGCGCGGCGCCCCGCGGCCGCCTCACATCACCTGCACCATCTGGCCCTCGGGGTCTCGGAACCTGCGGGGCCCCCCCTCCCTCCTCCCCTCCTTCCCTCCTCCCTCCCTCCCTCCTCCTTCCCTCCTCCTTCCCTCCTCCTTCCCTCCTCCCTCCCTCCTCCCTCCCTCCTCCCTCCTCCCTCGAGCACCGTGGGCCCCTCGCGACCCTCGGGTCTTGGGGGAGGTCTAACAGGGCGGGGGAAGGGGGGGGGGGGGGGAAGATGGCGACCCCAGTGCCCGACGCCGCAAAAGGGTTCCCGAAGGGACCGACCAGTGGAGGCCAGGCTCGGAGATGCACGGAGGGGGGGGGCGTGCACCCTCGATGGGGCTGCGTCCGAAGAGTCCCTTCCCCCAGGGGCTTATCCCCGAGTTGCCCCCGATCGGAGCGGCCGACCTCCTCCTCCTCCTCCTCCTCCTCCTCCTCCTCCTCCTCCTCCTCCTTGCTGTCCATCAGCAATGGCATTGACCAGTGACCCTCTGGGCGAGGAGCACTCTGCAACAGCAACATCCGGATGCCACAGGATGCCTCTTCGAGGAGGCGAACATGCCACAAGGAAAGAAGACGTGGCCGTGTGCCTGAGGTTGTGTAGACCGTGCTCGTTTTCTCGTAGGGAGGAAAAGAGGACGGAGGGAGTATAAACAATGAAAAGAAGGAAGGTAGAGAACATTGAAGGATGTCGCATACGTGCAAGAAGGTGCAACTGAAGAAGTGACCCGCTGAACGAGTAACAGGGGGAATCCCAGTGATGAAAAGTTAGGCGAACGCGTTTGCGGGGTTCATAAGCGATCATTGTGCAGAACGTAAAGCGGGCCTACGGCCTAACAGATCATCAAAAACGGAGCGGTCGATCGCCTGCGAGGGCCGGACGAACGGGCGGGACAGCCAAAAAAGACACGGGGAATTAAGCCACGCAGCCAGCTGCACATGCAGCAGATGCCGTGACACTCCTTTTGCCTTTCCGCCCCCCCTTCGTCCGACGTGAGATCCTTCAGGCGATCGACGTTTTGTCCATTCCCCTGGAGAGCGTCTCTCTGGAAGGAGAAAGAAAATAGCGATGCCAGCCGTTGCCGGCCCGGGCCGCCCCCTTCCCCCCCCAGGCACACCTCCTCCTCCTCCTCCTCCTCCTCCTCCTCTCCTCCTGTTCCTCCTCCTCCTCCTCCTCCTCCTCATCGTCATCATCATCTTTCCCCTCCTCCTACTCCCCCTTCTCGTCCTCCCCCTCCTCCTCCTCAGCATCCTTCCTCCTCCTCCTCCTTCTCCTTCTCCTCCTCATCATCAGGATCCCTCCTCCCTCCTCCCTCCTCCTCCATCCGACTCCCCCCTTTTCACTACTACAACTACGACTACGGCTACGACTACGGGCTACGACTACGACTACGACTGCGACTACGACTACGACTACGACTACGACTACTACTACTACTACTACTACTACTACTACTACTACTACTACTACTACTACTACGACTACTACTACTACTACGACTGCTACTGCTACTACTAATACGACTACTACGACTGCTACTACTACCACTACTACTACTACCAATACTACGACTACTACTACTACTCCTATCCTTATTCCTTATTAGAATATACTCCTACTCCCCCCGCAGGCCGGCAGATAGGGGCCGCATCCGGGTGGTCCCATCCTAACCTGTAAAAAACAATACAAAATCAACATTTTTCTTATTTTTTCCTCTTGACATGGACGTCCTGTCGTCCACGGCGATAATCCATTGCAAAAAATACCACAAAGAGCACACGCGCGCGTTCATGTCAGAATCCTACCGAACACCGTGTGTTTGCAAGCATTTCAACATAAAAACATCAAAAACCCAATGCTTTTTCCCCAAAAAATGTACAAAATTCCCGCCCGGGCTCTCTTGCTGAAATCATAGGAAAACCATAGGAATCTTAAGAATTCTGTCAAATCCAGCGATTTCACGTCATCGCGCGGTGCACTCGCGATGCTCTGTCATGCACCCAGGCCGCGAATCCTGTGCAAAAAAATACTACAAAAAACACACTCGCGCGTTCATGTCATAATCCTACCGAATACCGTGTTGCTGCAAGCATTTCAACATAAAAACATCAAAAACCCAATGCTTTTTTCACACAAATGCTTTGAGGTGTCCTGTCAGACCGTCGGGCTTCCTCCGGCCACCTCTGGCTTCCTGCGGTGTACCGGGCCATTCTCGACTCGTCTGACAATGCGTGCGCGGCATTCAACACGCGCTCGCAGTTCCCGTCGGCAACCGCCATCGCGGCCGCATCAGCTGTACCAAACCGGCTGGCCGGTGTGACTTCGGCCCCCAGTTGTGCCAGCTTTGCTTCTTATGTTGTGGGAGGGCGGGTGGGACTGGGCCTGCCATGCTTGACTCGCGCGAGCTGGCTAGCTTGACCTCCTACTCCTAATCCTACTCCTTCCTCCTCCTCCTCCTCCTCCTCCTCCTACTCAATCCTTCTCCTCCTCTCCTCCTCCTCCCTCCTCCTCTCCTCCTCCTCCTCCCCATCCTCCATCTCCCCCCTTCTCCTCCTCCTCCTCCACCTCGTCATCCTCCTCCTCCTCCTCCTCCTCCGCCGTCCTACTCCGCCGCTCCTACTGCAACCTTCCTGCCTCTCCGCCTCCTGCTCCTCTGCTCATTCTCCTCCGCCTCCTCCTAATCCTCCCTCCTCCCTCTCTCCTCGTTCTCCTCCTCCTCCTCCTCCTCCTCCTCCTCCTCCTCCTCCTCCTCCTCCTCCTCCTCCTCCTCCTCCTCCACCTCCTCCTCCTCCTCCCTCCTGGCTCTGAAAAAATAAGCGCCACAGGAAGCCCCCGGGCCCCCGGGGCCTTCTCAGAAGGCCTCCCCCTCAGCGCGGGGGAGAGGGGTCCCAAGGGAAACGGGTCCTGGGCCCCCGGGGCCTCCCCCCAGGACGAGATCTCCATCCTGAGCCGTTCTCTGCCAGCCCCGGGGCCCGTGGAGGGCCCCGGGAGCCCGAAAACAGCGAACAACCTCACGACGCGATCCCCGCGTGGCGACCCTTGCTCGCGCCGGCCCCCCCTTTGCGCGCCGCCGGGCTCGGCCCTCCCGGCTGTCTGCTCGAGCGTGCTCTTCCCTGCCCGTTGGGGAGGCCCGGAGGGCCGGCCGATGCGCGGCAGCCAGGGCGACCCCTGCGTGCTCTGGAGCGTGAGCAGCGGCCTCTCCAGGGGAGGCGCGTCGCGCTGCCAGGTGCCCATGGGGACCTCCTCCTCTTCCACCTCGGCGCCGAGGGTCGAGGATGGGCGATCGAGGGTCGGCCACAGCAGACACGTACGACAAGAAATCTTGCTGTGACGAACCTGGGGACACGATGCTTCGTCGGGCGTTGGGCCCCCCAAAGTGCCCAGGGCTTCTGCGGGCCCTCAGGGCCATCGGGGAATGAGAACCGCTCGTGGGGCACCTGCCGAAACGCCATTGTATGTTCCTGCAAGGAGTCCGGGGGCTCACCTCAGTGGGCTTTGGTCGGGAGTAGGAAGGGCATGGGGTGTCGGAGTGTCCGGTCGAGGATCGAAAAGGGGAGGGCCCACGATGGACACGACGAGGAAGGGAGGAAGATCGCGGATCCAAGCTTCTGACCCTTTCGGGGCCTTCAGAAAACCTCCGCGGAGACCTCTAGCGGCCGAAGGCCAACGGGGGAACCTCGGGGGCCTCCAGGACGCCCCACGAGCGGCGAGACGCGGACCTGCGGATATGCGATCCTCTCGCGCGGGGAACCCGCGCAAAGCCGCCCTGCGTCCACGAGGCCGCGGCCTAAAAAGTCCAGACCGCGGGGCCTTGAATGTTGACACCCTTCCGAGCCACGCACGCTGGCCAGGAGGCGTAAGAGGAAGAGGAGTAGGAGCAGGAGGAGCAGGAGGAGGAGGAGAAAGAGATGTACCGATGGTTGAGGATCAGAGAGGGAGGGGTCGAAGGGGAGGAGGGGGCGGAGGAGGAAGCGGACGACCACCACGACGAGGACCCCTGGGCCGGCGCCGCGATCCGCGGCTGGCGCAGGGCGCCCTCTGAGGCCCCCCGCCCGGCACAGGGCGAGGTGCGCGCGCTGCACCTCGAGCGGCGACACCTCGGAGGGGGGGAGGGCCTCGTCTGGCACGGCCTCCGCCATCCTGCTCATCTGTTTCCCCCTCCTCCTCCTCCTCCCCCTCCTCCTCCTCCTCCTCCTCCTCCTCTTCCTCCTCCCCCTCCTCCTCCTCCTCCTCCCCCTCCTCCTCCACCACCTGCGCCTCCTCCTCCTCCTCCTCCTCCTCCTCCTCCTCCTCCTCCTCCTCCTCTCCTCCTCCTCCTCCTCCTCATCCTCCTCCCCCTCCTCCTCCTCCTCCTACTCCTCCTCCTCCTCCTCCTCCTCCTCCCCAACCAACGGAGGGTCCAATCCAATCCTCTTCCTCCCCCTCCTCGTCTTCCTCCCCCTCCTCCTCCTCTTCCTCCACCTGTCGCTGCTGCTCTCGCTTAAGGCATCGGAATTCCTCCTGGTGGGCTGCCATCCCCTGCTCCTGCTCCTGCTCCCGCTCCTGCTCCCACTCCTGCCTCTGCTCCTGCTCATGGTTCTCCCCTTCCTCCTCCTCCTCCTCCTCCTCCTCCTCCTTCTCCTCCTCCTCCTCCTCCTCCTCTTTCGTTTCCTCCTCCGCCTCCTCATCCTCATCCTCCTCCTCCCTTGCAATGCCCCCCCTATCGCATACCCGAACGCGTCGGTGGGGCGGTCTGGGCGTTTTGCCTCAGACTCCCCCACCACTTTTGATTATCAAGTATCTATGTTGCAGCAATTTCACGGATGGAAGGCGGGCCGTTTCGAACATTTGGCTCTCGCCTTCGCGCCGCGCACATTATTCAAAGGTCGCAACAGCTTTCCGAATGGAGGGCGGATCGGTTTCAAAATGTGCCTCTCGCCTTCGCGCCTCGCACATTCGTCTTGAAAGCCTGCAACAACTTCAAAGATGGAGGACAAGTGGTTTTCAGCCTGTGGCTCTCGCATTAGCGCCGCGCACATTCGTCGAACATGATTCCAGCAGCTTCAAGGATGGAGGGCGGTTGTTGTACAAACTGTGGTCTTCGCCTGAACGCCGCGCAAAGTTGTTCTGAGACAGTTTAAAAGGGTTCGTATGGTTGAAGTCCCATGATTCGTGAACTTGCACGATTTGGAATTGTTGGGACGCAACAATCACGTCGAGTTACGATGCTGAAGTCGCAGGAATGTTCTGGCACGATTGCCAGGACGCCAGTAACGTTGATCCGCGGCGGTGGAATTCCAATAATTGTTTCTGCATGATTGAAGCTTCTCGGACGGCCGTCTTCTAATGGGTCGATTCCCGCGATGAAGATACATGCTTGCAGTATCCTATGAAGGGGGAACTTGGAGGGAGCGAGTATTGCAACATCGTCGATGCGTCTTGGGCTTGCTCTGGTCCTCCTCCTCCTCCGTCTCCGTCTCCCCCTCCTCCTCCTCCAGCTCCTCATCCTCGCCCTTGTCTTCCTCGCCCGTCTCTTCTTCTCTCTCCTCTCCACGAGCGCCTCGTCCGCCACCGCGAACAGGACGATCGAGAACCCCGTGACCTGCGCCAATCGGAGACCGTAAATCGGGCGTGGACTGCCCCGGCTCAGCGCAAACTCGGCTGCCATCTATTGGGGGCTTCCCGATCCCAGCCCGGGCACTACGCAAGGCCACCTCCACAGCTGCGAGCGGCTCCCAAACCCGACTTAGGCCAAATCCGGCTTCGCGGGATCCAAGCCAAGGGGGATCGAGGATTGAAATTTTACGCGCTTCGTTGTCCTCTTTGCTTCTCTGGGAGGGTTCTCCCGGCCCCGGCTGGATTCCGCTTCGAATGCTGGCCACAACGCATCGCAGGAGAGGAATTGGGATCGACCATGAGGGGGAGGCCCGTACCTCCAATCTCTTGAGACAGTCAGGATTGGGGGCTCTCTTCGCTCTCGGTTGGCCAGGGGGGCGTTTCTGGGACCCGAAGCCATCGAAGAGCGACAGGGACAGGACACCGGCCCATGAAAAGTCGGTCGAAGGTTCCCGGGCTCCGTGAACCCAGACATCCGGCTGCTCCAATTTGTCCGATGCGTGCTGGGCTGACCCAAGAGGGGGTCCAGCTGCAAGGGGGTGGTGCAATAGATTTGGGGCAAAACACTGCACATGTATTGCGCCGGAGAGTTGTATTGCATTGTATTGCAACCGATGTACGGCACGCGAAAATCCAGCAACACATTTGCGCCCCAGAATGTATTGCACGCCCCAAATCTATTGCACCACCCCCTTGTCGCTAGAACCCCTTCTGGGTCAACCCGAGAAATGCCGCGCACGCAGCGACGAAAAGAGACAGGTGCAGATCCTCAGACCCCTTCGCGTCGCGAAAGAATCACCCCAGGAGGCTTTCCGCTGTTTTCGGCCTCTGGGGGCCCTCACCAGGCCCCTGGACTTTCAAAGAACAGGTCGGAAACAACAACTGGTCCCAGGGAATGGGTCGAGATCTCTGGGGCCGACGTCATGAAAACATCATGACCTCGGAGGTCCGGGTCGGCTGCACGCAGGAACGGCCCAAGGCAAGAGTGACCTCCGTGTGCGGCAGCTGGGGGGGCCGCGGGGGAGGCCGGGTCGGCGCCCGAGCACGCTGGCCGGTGCTGGCAGGAGCCCTGTTGGCGCGCCTCCGAAGACACTCCGGCGAAGTGTCACTCTTACGCGCAGCCGGCAGATGACTTCCAGAGTCACGAGCCCGGGCTTCCTGAGGTGCCCTGAGGCGAAAAGAACCAGGCCTAGCGCGAGGGGGTGAGCAAGCAGCGACCTTCTGCGGTGGCCGACGCGGGCCGCCAGAGCAACACGCACCACTGGAGACGACGGCGCGTACGGGCGACCTCACCCAGGCAGCTGACTCGCCAATGACTGTGCAAACGACCCCGTTGCCCTGCATCGCTCACACGCACGTGGTTTGCTCAAGACATGGAAGATCCCAGGTCTGACGCACGGAGGGGAATTCCAAAAGGGTTGATTTTGCCTAGAGCATCCAGGCGGCGGAGGCGCCAGTGCATCTAGGAAGCCCCCTGCGGCAGGACCAAAACCAGCTGCATGCAGCAGACTTCGTACCCCCCTCCTTGGGAGGCAGGAGGTGAAGGACTCGACGACGATGATGCTTACATGCCGAACCCCCTGGAAGAGCTCCTCCCTTCTCCTCTTCCTCCTCCGCCTCCTCCTCCTCCTCCTCCTACTCGTGGTCCATCATATCCAACTTCCTTCTCCCGCACACCCTCCTCCTCCTCCTCCTCCTCCTCGCCTCCTCGCCACCTCGCCTCCTCCCCCTGCCCCTCGCGCTCCTCCTCCTTCTCCACACATTCCTCCTCCGCCTCCTCCTCCTCCTCATCCCCCTCGCCCTCCTCATCCTCATCTTCATCCTAACCCTCCTCCTTCTCCTCCTCCTCCTCCTCCTCATGACCCTCATCCTTCCTCCTCATGTTCCTCTTCTATCGCCAACTCCGTTTCCGCCTCCTCGTGAAACTTCCCCTCTCCCAATCGAATCCCTCCTCCTGCGCCTCCACCTCCTCCTCCTCCTCCCTCCTCCTCCTCCACCTGCACCTCCTCCTCCACCTTCTCCTCCTCTCCTCCTCCCCCCTCCCCTCCTCCCCCTCCTCTCTTCTTCCTCCACCTCCTCCTCCCCTCCTCTCCTCCTCATCCTCTCCTAATCCTCTCCTCATACTCCTCATCCTCCTACTCCTTCGTTCCCAACCTATCCTCCTCCTCACTCCCTCCTCCTCCTCCTCCTCCTCTCTCCTCCTCCTCCTCCTCCTCTCTCCTCCTCCTCCTCCTCTCCTTCCTCCTCATCATCCTTCTTCTCCTACTATTCTCCGCCCTCCTCCTCCTCCTCTTCCACATCCATACCTCCTCCTCCTCCTCCTCCTCCTCTCCTCACTCCTCCTCCTCCTCCTCCTCTCCTCCTCCTCCTCATCATCATCATCATCATCATCATCATCATCATCATCATCATCATCATCATCCTCAGCATCCTCATTATCCTAATCATCCTCATCATCAACACCATAATCATCATCATCATCATCATCATCAGCATAAGCATCATCATCATCATTAGCAGCATCAGCGTACTCGTGAACAATATGATCATCAGCATTAGCATCATGATCAGCATCATCCTCATCATCATCCTCATCCTCCTCGTCCTCATCCTCATCCTCATCATCGTCATCATCGTCATCATCATCAGCAGCATCAGTATCATCCTCATCCTCCTGGTCCTCATCATGATAATAATCATCATCATCATCATCATCATCATCATCATCGTCATCAGCAGCAGCAGCATTATCATCACCATCACCATCACCATGAGCATCATTAGCAGCAGCATCATCAACAACAGCAACCTCAGCATCATCATCAGCAGCAGCAGCATCCTGCTCGCCCTCGCCCTTCTCCTTCTCCTCCTCCTCCTCCTCCTCCTCCTCCTCCTCCTCCTCCTCCTCTCCTCCTCCTCCTCGTCCTCGCCCCCCTCCTCCTCCCCCCTCCTGCCAGGAGCCAGGGCGACAGGTGCCCTTTTGTTGCGGGCTCCGGAGGCCCAACGCCAGATGCCGATCGCCAGGAGCCCGAGCCACATGATGTACCCGCCGACCTTTTCAGGGGGAGGAGGGGCAGGGGGAGGAGGAGCAGGGGGGGGAGAAGGAGGGCGAGGGCGAGGAAGCCTACGAGAACGACGAGGGGGAAGAGGGAGGGCGGGGCAGGAGGAGGAGGAGGAGGAGGAGGAGGAGGAGGAGGAGGAGGAGGAGGAGGAAGGAGGGCAGGAGGGGGGAGGGCGAGGGCTAGGAGGAGGGGGCGGGGAGGTGAAGGAGGAGGAGGAGGTGGAGGAAGAGGAGGAGGAGGAAGAGGAGGAGAAGGAGGATGAGGAAGAGGAGGAGGAGGCGGAGGGGGGAGAAGGAGAAGGACGAGGTGGAGAAGAACGAGGAAGAGGGCGAATGCGAGCAGGAGGAGGAGGAGGAGGAGGAGGAGGAGGAGGAGGCGATCGAGGAGGAGGAACAAGTTCTGTTGCAACTGTATCAAGAACAGAGTATGCCGGGCTGCAGGTGGCGTCAACGGAAGAGAAGGAAGGGGTCGCGAAGGCAGGAGGAGCTTTGATCTGCACTCCTCCAAGAGGCCCTTGGCTCTGAGAGGAGATGCATTCTAATAAATTGTCAATGTGCCTCGGAGGGCGTGTATGGGCCTCTGGGCTGCTGGATAACCCCAAAACGACTCAAGAGGCTCCCAAGAGGATCCCAAGATTGTCCAAGAGGACCCTAGGCCCAAAACGACCAAAGATGCCCACAAAAAACACAAGACACTTTTATCAGCCTCGATGTTAGTCGGGACTGTCTGGGTCAACGTGGCCAGGGACTTAGTGCACACGACATCCACAGAGGACTCACCTACGATTCGAAGCTGCACCCCCGCGTGGTACGACTTCCTGTGCTGGTGGGCCTCGCGGGCCCTACGGTGGAGGCCAACCATCCCTTGTAGTCAGCGCGGTTTCCCATCGGCTCGAAGGTACTGAGTCGTCGGAGGCCTGGGGTCACTCACGAGGGGGACGATAGGGGAGGACTGGCCCGAGGGGGGGAGAGAGGGGGGGGGGGGGGGGGGGGGGGGGCAAACGTCCACCTGGAGTCGGAGGTCGATTGCCGACAGATCGGCGACAGGCCCCCAATAGCAAGACAGGCCGCCCCTGAGCGGGGTGCGCTGTCGGGCCCCTTATCGGCGATGAGTGGGCGATTTCAGGATGGGGGAAGCGGGTCCTGAGGGGAACGGGTCCTGGACCCTGGGGCCTTCCCCCAGTGCGAGATCTTCATCCTGAGGCGTTTTCTGACAGTTCTGGGGCCATGGAGGGCCCCGAGAGTCCGAAAACGACGGGCAAACTCAGGACCCTTTCCCTCAGGACCCGCTTCCCCCATGGCGACGATTGGGGATCGATGCGCCCCCCACCATGAGCAGGGACCGACCGTCCCCACATTCCTATAGGCCTCCCACGAAATTGTATTAGAACGCATAAGTGGTGTAAGACCAAAAGCAATGTTCTTAGAACATAGATCCGACGTGCTAAAACTGAACAGCCCCAGCCAGACATGTTCTAAGAACATTCCGAGGAAACCACAAAAGGTTCTTAGAACATTGTCTGGTAGGCCCATAAGCACGCCGGGACGCTTCGCCACTGCTTGATGCCTAAGCCACCCCCCCTTAGAGCCTGCGGTCAGGGACGCTTGGCGTGTCGAGGCGGCGGCCCCGGCGACGCGCTGTGCACTGCCGGCGGATGCAGCGGAGGCGGGTCCAACAAAAAACCTTCCACAACAAGCCCAAACCCTAAGAATTAAGTCGCTCCCATCGCACTTGAAGACCACATCCCAGAAATCTTTCCGAGCACCAGGAAAAGTGTCGGAAGAGTGTCGAAAGAGTGTCGAAACAGTGTCGGACGAGTGTGTCCCAGGGCCCGACACGTGAAAACCCTAGAGTTTCGATATTTCTGGGTGCTCGAAATTTTTCCTGGTGATCAAGGCCTAAGGTAGGTTGGAACATCATGACCTGAGTCCCCAGGACGGACGTCCGTTGATTGTTAGTGTGGGAACGTCACGCTCTGCATCGCAAAACCATCGAAGCCCAAGAAAACTAGGGCAGCCTGGAGGCGAGCGGGGTGTGTCTTGGCATGGGCCCCCACTGTAGTGTTAGGTGGGGCATGTCCCCAACACAGGCGCACTTTGGAGGAGCAATCAGACCTGGCCGAAAAAATCTCACAAAACAACCAAAACATATGCAAACAATCGTCCCCACACTATTCTCTGACTTGTTTTCAAATGTTCCTCCTGTAGAGGGACACGCCCGACTCAACTGCAGCGTCTCTTCGCTCCGCGGGGTGCAAAGCTGGAACAAAAAGGCTTGTACAGTCGACGCTCGCAGAACGGAAAGTGGTTCGCGTTAGGTCGGGCATGTCCCCCTACAGGCGGGTTGTGTGCGAACAAGCATCCAGAAATATTCGAACATATGCAGCAATAGTTGTTATATGTAGACAATGAAATATGCGAACATAGTAAAGCATGATTGTTTTCTAGATACAAATATAAACATTAATGCATGTACCCTTTAGAGCCAAGGAACATCTTCTACTCATTTTGAAGTCCCCAGACTAAGTTTTGACTATGTTTGAAGCTTCCCCCTGTAGAGAGACACGCCCGATTTAGGGCTAGCGTGTCGCGCCGATAAGCGCGGTGGGCCGGGGCCGGCGGTGCGACACGCTGAGTACGTACGAGGTCCTGACTGCGATGCCAGAGGAGGGCGGGGGGGGACGGAGGGAGGGGCGCGAAGACTGAGGAGTAGGAGGGAGGAGCAGGGAGGGATGAGAAGGGACGAGCGAGTGGAGGAAGGAGGGAGGGAGGAGGGATGAGAAGGGACGAGGGAGGAAGGAGGAGGGAGGAGGACGGAGGGAGGAGAAGGGAGGGAGGGAGGGAGAGGACGGAGGGAGGGAGCGAAGGAGGGACAAAGGGGGCAGCAGGAGGAAGAGGAGCGAGGCAGGGAGATGACAGAGGGAGCTCCCCCCTCCCGGGGCGACCGGCGCCCCCCCGCCGGCCAGCGCGGCCACGCCGTTCATGAGGCAGGGCTCCTGCGACCCCAAACCCCCGACGTCATGCTTTTTCCATGACGTCGACCCCCAGAGGTGTCGACCCAGTCCCCGGCACCGGTGTTTCGTCCTAGGTCGTCTTTGTCACGGTCCCGAGGCCCGGTGAGGGCCCCCAGATAGGCCGACGATAGCGAAACACCCTCCGGTGGTGATGTTTCCATGACTCGAGGGGGCCTGGGACCCTCCTCCTTGGCCCCCCTCCCTCCCTCCTTCTCCTCCTCCACGCCGCGCATCCTCCTTCTCTGTCCTCCCCCACTCCCGTCCTCCCTCACTCCGTTCACCCTCCTCCATGCCCCCCTCCTTCTCCTCCTCCTCCGCCTCCTCCGCCTCCTCCTCCCCCTCCTACTCCTCCCCCTCCTCCCTCCTCCTCCTCCTCCTCCTCCTCCTCCTCCGCCTCCCACATCCCCCCTCCCTCTTCCCTCCTCCTCATCCTCATCCGTCCTCCCTCCTCCCTCCTCCCTTCTGCCTCCTGCACCACCTCCTCCCTCCACCTACCTTCCCATCCTTCTTCCCCCATCCTCCTCTGCCCTCCTCCTCGGCCTCCGCCCCCCTCCCTCCTCCTTCGGGGCTCCCTCTGCTGGGCGCCGACGAAAGCGAAGCACCCCGCCGAGCCAGCCGCCAGCAGGCTGCTGAGGAGGATCCCCGCGGATGCGACGCCCACACGCGCGAATGAGTCCTTGCGTGGGGGGGCAGCGGGAGAGAGGGGCAGGACAACAACGACACCGACGACGAATGGCGGCCCCGGAGATGCCCAGAGTCCTCCAGAGCTCCCTGGAAGTCCCAGGTTCCGGAGGCCTCCAGAGCATCAGAAGACCGCGAAATAAAAACATGCCGAGACGACGAAGACGACGACGACGCCGCCGCCGACGCCGCCGAAGCCGACTCCAACGCCGACCCCGACAAAGATGCCGACGCCGACGACCACGCCCACGCCAGCGCCGACGCCCACACTGGCGCCGACGCCGACGCCGACGCCGACGCCGACGACGACGGCGATAGCGAAGACGACGACGAGAACGACGAGGAGGACGAAGACGACGAGAACGACGACGACGACGACGACGACAACGACGACGACGACGATGGCGAAGACGATGGCGACGACGACGATGGCCAAGACGAGGACGCCGACGCCGACGCCGACGCCGACGACGACGCCAACGCCGACGCCGACGCCGACGCCGACGCCGACGCCGACGACGACGAATACGACGACGAGAACGGCGAAGACGACGATGCCGACGCCGACACCGACGCTAATGCCGACGCCGACGACGACGCCGACAACGACGACGACGCGACAACGCCGACGGCGACGTCGACGCCGACGCTGACGCCGACGCCGACGCCGACGCCGACGCCGACGCCAACGGCGACGGCGACGGCGACGACGCCGACGACGATGGCGAAGACGACGACGACGAAGACGATGACGACGACGACGACGACGGCGATTGCGAAGACGACGACGACGCCGACGACGACGACGGCGACGACGACGACGGCGACGACGACGACGACGACGACGACGATGACGACGGCGGCGACGATAACGACGTTGGCGGCGGCGGCCACAGTGACGACGGCGACGACGCCGATGGCAGCAACCACAGAGGCGACGTCGACGACGACGACGACGACGATGGCAGCGGCCGCAGCGATGTCGACAACAACGACTGCCGCAATCACAGCAACGACGACGCCGACGACGACGCCGACGACGACGACGACGACGACGACGACGGCGACGGCGACGACAACGACGACGACGACGACGACAGTGGCGGCGGCGGCCACAGCGACGACGGCGACGATGCCGACGGCGCTGAGGAGGTCCGGGCCCATCAGGCTGCACGCGCTGGCCGTGCCTCGCCGGCGGGCGGAGGCCGGCAGCAAAACGGAGCGCCCCGCCAGGGGCCAGAGGCTTCAGAACTGGGGAAGCCAAAAGGTACCGATACCGCTACTCCCTGAGATCCTGGCGTTGCAATTGTTTCACAACGGGCGTTTTCGCTCAATGTCGGGCCCCGGGACCCTCACAGATCGATCCAGCTCGAAAAATGATGCAGAAAGATGTGGTCTGGGGCTCCAGGCGTGCTTTTTTTGCGATGCTGCATTTTTTGGCAACGACGGATCTCAGGGCTCTCTGGACCTCTCCTGGGTTGCATTATGACTAGGATTTCGAGGCGAATCCAACGGTGGCGGTGAGGGTCTCCCAGGAGGCCCCCTAAAAGGGGAACGCGGGCGGAGGGTGTAGCGGTACCTGGGTTACCTCTGCCTCCCTCCGACGCACAGGGTGGGGTTCAGGCTTGCCTGCCGCCCGCCGCCCGCGCCTATCAGCAGCGCCAGCGCGCGCTGCCCCGGCAGCGCGTTGAAGAGCCCCGCCGGCCCGCCGAGACCCGCCCTCGCCGAGGCCTCGCGCGGCGCCTCCGGCCCGCCCGCCGCGGGCGCCGGCGCCGCGCGGTCGCCCGCGGCCCTGGCCTCCTGCAGCTCGGCCCGCGCGTGCCGCAGCTCGGCCTCCGCCTCCCGCAGCCTCGCCTCGCCCTTGGCCTGCGCGGCGGCCGCCGCCTCCTTGGGGGCGGCGGGCGACGGGCGGCGAGCGGCGAGCGAGCGACGACGGCGTCGAGCGGCGGCGGCGATGGCGGCCGCGGCCGCAGCCGCGGCGGCGGCTGCGACGGCGCGCGGCGGGAGCCACGGCGGAGGCGGCGGCGGCGCGCGGCGGCGGTGGCGGCGGCGGCGGCGCGGGGGTCCATGGCTCCTCCTCCTCCTCGTCCTCCTCCTCCTCCTCCTTCTCCTCCTCCTTGTCTCCTCCTCCTTCTCTCCTCTTTTCTCCTCTCGTCTCGTCCTCCCTCGTCCCTCGTCCTCGTCCTCGTCCTCCTCGTCTCGTCCTCCCCTCTCCCCTCCTCCTCCACCTCCTCCTCCTCTCCTCCACCTCGCTCCTCGTCCTCCTCGTCCTCCTCCTCTCCTCCCCCTCCTCTTCCTCCTCCTCCACTCCTCCTCCTCCTCCCCTACTCCTCTTCCTCCTCCTCCTCCTCCTCCTCCTCCTTCTTCCTCTCCTCCTCCTCCTTCTCTTCCCCTCTCCTCTTCCCCTCCCCTCCTCCTCCTCCTCCTCATCCTTCTCCTCCTCCTCCTCCTCCTCCTCCTCCTCCTCCTCCTCCTCCTCCCTCTCCCTCTCGTCCCCTCCTCCTCCCCCCTTCCTCCTCCTCCTCCTCCTCCCTCCTCCTCCTCCCTCCTCCTCCTCCTCCTCTCCTCCTCCTCTCCTCCTCCCTCCTCCTCCTCCCTCCCTCCTCCTCCCCTCCTCCTCCCACTCCTCCTCGTCCTCGTCCTCCTCATCTTCCTCCTCCTCTTCCTCCTCCTCCTGCTCCTCCTCCTCCTCCACCTCCTGCTCCTCCTCCTCCTTTTTTTATTTCTCCTCCTCCTCTTCTATCCTCATCCTCCCCCTCTTCCTCCCTCCGTCGTATTCTACTGCTCCTCAGTATTACACATATTATTACTACGATGTGATACTAGTGTACTAATAGTCTTACCGTTAACCGTATTATTTAGTTTATTAGTAACCGTCGTAGTGTTATCAATTGTAGTATTGTTGTTATTAGTGTTAGTAGTATTTTTGGTGCGATAAGTATTGCTGGCATTATCAGTATTGTTATTATGATCAGTATTATAAGTAGTATTACTAGTATGGATTAGCACAATTATTGTTGTTATTCAGTTTCCTGGTTATTGTTATTAGTAGTAGTAGAACTAGTTGCATGACTAGTGTTACCACTACTCGTATTTGTGTGTTTCGTATCATTGTTGTTAAGAGTAGTCGTGTTAGTATTGCTAGTATCGTATGAACTGTTCGTAGTGTTAATATGATTAATAGTAGTGGTAGTTTGGTCATTCGCACTGTTATGGTTACCAGTGCCAGTACTAGTAATAGTATAATTGCTCGTCGTAGTAGTATTGTTAGTATGTGTCGTATTATGATTGGCTTTGCTAGTATAGGTGGTAGTGCTATTAGTATTCGCATCATGACTCGTACTAGCATCATCATCCCCATTATCAGCAGCAGCATCTCCAGCATCATCATCAGCAGCATAATCATCATCTTCCGTATGAGTATTGCGAGAATTGGTATTACTATCCTTATTGATAGTAACCGTAAAGTAGTATGCTTCCTTGTCTTGCGTTTGTTAAAAGTATTGCTCCTCCTCCCCCTCCTCCTTCTCCTCCTCCTCCCCCTCCTCCTCCTCCTCTTCCTTCTCCTCCTCCTCCTCCTCCTCCTCCGCCTTCTCCTCCTCCTCCTCCTCTTCCTCTTCCCCCGCCCACCCCACTCAAACCCCCGCCCCCGCGGGAACGAACAGGCGACCACAAACCGCTGCTGAGGGAGCCGCCCCTCAGCCCAGCGGTTGTGGCCGGCTCGTGTTCGCACGCGGCCCCCCGCCAGACGCTCCTGGGCCCGTCGCAGCTCCCCCCGCGCGCTGTCGGCGTCCGCCCGGGCCGCCTCCGCCTGCGCCCTTTGCTCGCGCAGCTGCTGCCCGAGCCGCCGCAGCTCCTTTTCAGCGGGGGGGGGATTGCCTCCTTCTACTCGTCCTCCTCGTCCTCATAAAGTTGCTCCTGCTTTTCCTCCTCCTCCTCCTTGTCCTCATCCTCCTCCTCCTCCTTCTCCTCCTCTTCCTCCTCTTCCTCCTCCTCGCCCTTCCCCAGAAGGCGGCGGAGGGGGGGTCAAAGAAGAAGGCAGAGGGGACTTCCTGGAAACCCTGCCTAGAAACTGCCAGGCCTGTCAAAGAAGGCCCCTGTTTTACGAGAAGTCCTCCCTTCGCCTTACTCGAAGCCCACCCCGTCTCGCCAGCCCCTTGTGGTCGCCGCAAAACGTGGGGAAACGATCGCTGGGGAGGCTCCAGGGAGCACGTTGACATGGAATCGGCGACGCGTCGCCGATAGATCAGCGACGGGGCGGAAAGCGGGGCCCAGGCCCAGTTTGGCGATGCACGGGCGATTGGGGCTGAGCCCGTCGCCTCGCTCCCCGGACCCCCTTCCCCCCTCTGCAGGAGTTGGGCGGGAGAGACGAAAGGATGAGGGGAGGAGGGGACAGGAGAGGAGAGAGGGAGAAGTGAGAAGGGCGAAGGGTGGTCTTTCGAGGGCTAGTCTGCCTACGTGAACTGCTCGAGATGGTGCCTGTGGGGGAGGAGGAGGAGCAGGAGGAGGAGGAGGAGGAGAAGGAGGACGGGGATGATGATGATGATGATGATGATGATGATGATGATGATGATGATGATGATGATGAAGAGGAGGAGGAGGAGGAGGAGGAGGATGATCATCATCATCATCATCATCATCAGCATCATCATCATGAGGATGATGATGATGATTATGATGATGATGATGAGGAGGAGGAGGAGGAGGAGGAGGAGGAGGAAGAGGAGCACGGATGGATGGACCATCATCAAAGAGGCCCTGGCGGCCGTCTGCAAACAGACGACAGCCAGGGCCCCTGATGTCGAATGGTTCCCGCGCCGCCGCGAGCGCGCCACGTACTCGCTGTGGCGACGAGGGAAGGACCCCGAAGAAGCCCAGACGGGCATCCGACCGACCCCGGCCGACCCCGAGGGCGAGCCAGGGGGAAGGAAGCCACCCCCGCAGGGGGCAAAACGGGCACCCCCAGCAGCCACCCGCGGCCGCCCACCCACCCAGACGGGGGAACGCGGCAGCCCCCCAAAGCCGCGCCGAGGGGCGCCGCACCAGGATCGCGAGGCGGACCCAGCAGGTGAGAGCGAGTGCCCGCGCCCAGCTCATCCGACGCAGTCGAGGCACACGGTGTGGCGGCACCGCTCGCACAACTTCGTGGCCGTCCGCGTGGGGAACGTCCTCGAGTACCACTCGCAGACGACGGCGAGCAGCGGGCGGCGGCGGAGAACGATTTCGTGCCGAGCGGGGCAGAGGTAGAGGAACGCGCCGGGCGAGCCGTCCTCCGACCCACCGCCAGGGGCACGAACAGCGGCCAACGTAGCCTCCGAGACGCCGTCGTCCTCGCCCTCCTTACCGCCAAACTGTGCGCCAGCAAACGGCGCCTGCGAGACCTGCACGTCCATGACCTCCTCGGCGTCCGCACCGCCGCACGCCCTCCCTTGCACCGCGAAGGAGACATCCGACACAGGACCCTCGGCCGACTCCAAACATCGTGCGCAAGGGTAGCCAAACGCCACAGACGTGCCAGAGCACCGCAACTGCTCAGGATGCGCCACGCGGCAGGCAGCCACCTCCAAGTCCACGTCCTCGCTCTCGCCATGCATGGACTCCGTCACGCACGGCGTCGGCACAGCGTCTGTCTGCACCTCTGCATCTGCAATCGGCGCCTGCACGACCTGTGCCCCGGCGAACTCCTCGGCAACGTCGTCGACTCGCGCCACATCCCGCACCGCGGCGGAAACGTCCAGCACAACGCTCTCGGCCGACAGCTCCGAGTCCACGCCCGCGCATCACGGTGCCACGCACGGGCCCCGTCACGCTCGGCATCTGCACGGCGGGGGGCGGGATTGGCGCGAACACCGCAGTACTGCAGTTACAGGGCACGCCCTCTGCGCAGCAAGCACCTCGCGGCACAACTTGGCCTCAGCCCGCATGCCACCAGCCGTGTGCCCCAGGCGGGGCCCAGCAGCAGCCCAGGACTGCGGCGTCGAGGACGCCGCCGTGAACCCGCCAGGCGGCACACGGCGCGCATGCCAGGCCGTGTTCCGCCTGAGCCGCATCACGCCCGGGACGCGATCCCCTGCAGCGAACCTCTGCAGAGCCAGCCTCGACGCGCGCTCGCGGTCCACCCACGAACCCCGGGCGCCCAGTGCCGCCACCAGCGGACGCAACGCTGCTTCCAGAGCCGCGCGACCGCGCCGCCGTGCAGGACGCCTCGCCGCGGAAGCGCCGAGGGAGTTCTTCTCCATGATCATGAGAAAACTGGGCCGCCACATCGGCGGGCAGACCCCCGCAGCCATTCAAGACGCGCCCGCCGCCGCCGCCACCGAGCCGCCGACCATGGGCGAAAAGGCTGCGGAGAAAGCGTGGAAAACGGCCTGAACCAAAATGGCTACGGAGGAGGAGGAGGAGGCGGAGGAGTGGGATAGAGGAGGGGGTGTATTCTGTCAGGATCGCCTGCGATTTTCAAACTTATCAGGTGCATTCGAAAGTAAACGAATGCTTCCGGACGACAAGTTTAAGCAACCGAGGAAGCATAAGGAGGGGCAAGAAAAGCAAGAAGAAGAACCAAGAGGAGGAAGGAACGCAGTGAGCTGGAGGGACGGGGAAGGCGCGGGGAGGGAGGGAGCGCGGGAGGCAGGGAGGGAGGCACAAGAAGGGACAGAGGAGGGAGCAGGGAGCGGGGGGAGGAGGAGGGGGACCGTTGGATGGCGATGTGGCTGAGGTCAGCGGAGGCACTCGACGGGGGGAGGAGCAGGGAGGAGGGTGGGGAGGCGAGGCTCGCGAGCGACGAGCAGGGGCCGGTCGCGGCGGCCGGGCGAGGTCCTCCGCGGCGTCCCCCGACTGGGGCGGCGGGGGCGGCGCCGGGCCTCGCCCGTCGGCCGGGACCTTCCTCAGAGGGGGCGCGGTGAGCATCACCTGGGGGCGGCGGTGGCCACGCACTGCCCGTCCGCCTGGCTCGCCCGCCCCCCCCCCCCCGCCTGCCTCTGCCCACTTCCTCCCGCTCCTCCTGCTCCCTCCCCCCCATCTCCAACTCCGCTTCCGTCTCCGGCTGAGCCTCCCCCTCTTCCCCTCCCCCTCCCTCCTCCCTCCTCCCGCCTCCCTCCTCCTCCTCCTCCTCCTTCCTCCTCCTCCTCCAAGCTCCTCCTCCTCCTCCTCCTCCTCATCCTCATCCTTATCCTCATCCCCCAACTCCCACTCCACCTCCTCCGCCTCCCACACCTCCTCCGCCTCATGCGCCTCCTCCTTTCTCCTTGTCTTTTCCATAAATGACTCCACCATGGTAACACCCCAGACGTGTCGGTAGGGCAGGCCAGTTGTTTCGCTTTAGGCTTCCTCACAATATGTGACCCCAAAGCTTGAAATTCACAACAGCTTCACGGATAAATAAAAGTCTCGCCTGAGCTCCGCGCATATTCTTCTCAAGCATGTGCAACTGTTTGGAGGATGGAAGGCGGTTCCTTTTCAACATGTGGTTCTCGCAACAGTGCCACGCATATTCGTCTCGAAAGTCCGCCACCGCTTGAAGGGTTCGTACGGCTTAAGCCCAAGAAATGGTTACAAGGCGCAATAGGACTGCCAGGACTGCCAGGACGCACCAGGAATGGTGTTCGCGCACGGTTTAGGACTGTCAGGACGCAGCAATCGCCTTGACCCGCGGCGATGATCCCAAGATTGTTCTAACACGATTGTGGATTCTCAGACGGTTGCTTCCCACGGGCCACTTCCCGCGATGACAATACCTTCTTGAATGGGCCTAGGAAGGAGAAACGTGGAGGGCGGGTTTATTGCAACATTGTGGATGCAACATGGGTTTACACTGGTCTTCCTCCTCCTCCGCCTGCTCCTCCTCATCCTCCTTCTCTCCCTCCCCCTCCTCCGTCGACAGATCCGCGAAGGCCTATGGTTCACTCCTGGACTGCTTGCTGCTAAACTTCCCTGACGAAGACAATTCGCCTGGGGATCATCGCTGAATGGGCTGGTGTGGATGCACGAAGCGTTACCAACTATCTGGTGACGTCCCTCCTTGCTCCCCGTTTCTCCTGCCTCCCCCCTCGTCGCTGGTGAAAAGGCCCCCCCTAAGGCGACGAAGCCATGGCATGCCAGGGTGCGCGGAGCTAAGAATATGGTCGTCATCGCCGCCGCCGCCCCCGACGTCGTCGTCGTCGTCTGTCCCAAAGGGTCTCCTGCATGGATTTCGAGGAGGCGCATGGAAGGCCCAAGAAAGACCAACAACTAACACACACACACACGTACAAACATACAGACATACGGACATGCAGACGTACGTACAGGCAGACATACATAAATATACACATGCACGTATCCATATACACTTACATACATACAGACATATATATACATACATACATACATACATACATACATACATGCATGCATACATACATACATACATACATACATACATACATGCATACATACATGTCTACAGACACACCTACCTACATGCATGCATACATACACATAGAGGTCCAGGCATACATACCTACAGACAGACAGGCAGGCTGACAGACCGGCTGACCAGACTAGGTGCATACATGCACACAGTCATACATGCATGCACGCATACATAATTACATACATGCTTGCATACATGTACGCACCTGCACATGCATACATGCATATCTGCATGCTTGCATACATATACGTGCAGACCTGTATACATGCAAACATACACACATACCTACATGCACGCATACATACAATTATACATACATGCTTGCATACGTACATGCGGATATGCAGTCGTACGTGCAAACGTGCATGCATGCATACATGAATTATTACACCTGTGCGTACATACGCACATACATATATACATACATACAGACCTACATGCATGCATAAATGAATACGTACATGCAGGCATGCATGTGTACACATACATGCATACATACATACATGCATGCATACGCACACACACACCGGCACATACACATACATGCATGCATACATACGTGCATGTAGACAGTCGCATCACACGCATGCAGATCTACATATATGTATGTGCATCCATGCATGTATGCGTGCCTGCGTTCGTAAATGCATGCGTACATACATACATACACATACATGCACACATGCATGCGCAACACACAGACATTCATACATACATGCGTACATACATACAAACATGCGTATATGCATGCATCCATGCGTACATGCATAACTACAAACATTCACATATTAACCTTACAGTCCAAGCATACATCTCTACATATATACATGTATACCGCCATTCACGTGTATACACATATGTGGACACTCTGGTATATACATACATACGTACACTAATACATACAGACATGCGAACACACACATACATAGAAACATACTTACCGATTTACCACATACATACATACATACATACACATTCGCACAAACACACATGCACGTACATGCACACACAGTTACACACACGCGCATACACACGTACACCTGCATACGTGTATACATGCACACACATACATGCGTTCATACAAACCTTACTACACGTATCCACAATACGTATATACATCTACAGATATGTATAGAGAACGCTTCGCACCCTCATTCGTCTTCGTCGTCGCCGACGACTCCGCCGCCGCCGTCGCCATCGCAGCGTGACGCGCTGCTCGAGCGGGGCCCTGCCGTGGCACGCCAGGCACTCCAGGAACGCCCCTTTGCCGCCGCTCGAGCGTGCGTTCCCCGTGCGCGTGCCGGCTTCGTGCGCTTACCATTCGCTCGCAACAAGAAAATCCAAGGTGACCCTCGCGGAGGAAACACGCGCACACGTCCGCGCGAGGCCGAGGCCCAGAGCCCAGAGACGCTGACGCCGCCGGCGCCGCCGCCCGATGGGGCACCGTGGCCGCGATGGCCGCTGCGAGGAGGGCGGCGACGCAGCCGCAGCTGAGGCCCCCCAGCGGCAGTCTACGCACGGAGCGGGGGGCCCTCCCGCAGCTGTCGCCCACGCCTCGCGGGGGCGGGTCGTCGTCGTGGTCGTCGCCGCCGCCGTCCGGCCGTCCGTCCGTCCGTCCGTCGTCGGCGGCGGCGGCGACAGCGGGCTTCGCTTCGGAGGCTTTCGAGCGCTTCTAGGGGGGGCTCTCGTCGCCGGAGCTTGGCGCGGCCAGAACAACCTGTCAGAGGCCAGTTAAGACCGGATTTTGGCCGGACAGGCCCCAAGGGCCCTCTCTCCGAACCCGCGTGTGCTGGGGCCCTCGCATCCGCACAAATATTACACACATATACACATGCGAATACGCAGATTAACACAAACACCCGCAGACAAGTGTTACTTGTGCCTGCAAGGGAGGGTGGCGGCGCATAACACGTGCTGGCCCATGATGGCGATGTATACGCCGCCACCCTCCCCATGAGGCCAAGGAGCAACTCATTCGAGGGGGTCTGTGTATATGTTTCGGGGCTGTCAGGGGCTGTTTCGGGGGGGCCCTAAAGTGCCTGGTCACCCCATGCCCTGTCAGGGTCGCCTCCCCGGGCGCCCCGGCCCCGTGCACGGGGACATGTGTATACATATATATGTGTGAAACTACATACATACATACATACATACATACATACATTCATACATACATACATACATACATACATGCATACATACATACATACATGATTGCATACATACATACATACATACATACATACATACATACATACATATACATACATACATATATACATACATACATACATACATACATACATACATATACGTACATATATGAATACATACATACATACCTACATACATACATACATGCATGCATGCATGCATACATACATGCATACATACATACATACATATATACGTACATACATACATACATGCATACATACCTACAGGCATACATATATACATACATCCATACATACATACATACATAAATACATACATATATACAGTACATACATACATACATACATACATACATGCATACATACATACATACATACATACATACATACATGGATACATACATATATACGCACGTGCACACATACAAACAAACATACATACATACATACATAAATGCATACAGTCATACATCCATACATTCGTGCATTCATACATTCATACATCCATACATCCATACATACATACACACACCTACATACATACATACATACATGCATGCATGCATGCCTGCATGCATATATACATACATGCACACATACATATATACATATTTGCATACATACATGTACACACATACATACATACATACATACATACATACATACATGCATGCATGCATGCATACATACATGCATACATACATACATTCATGCATACATACATACATACATACATACACACATATATACATACATACATACATACACACATACATACATACATACATACATACATACATACATACATACATACATACATACATACATACATACATATATGCATACATGCATACATGCATACATGCATACATGCATATGTACATATAAGTATACACATAGTTTAATACATGCATACATACTGTTGTGGCGGATCGCGGGGGACAAAGCGCCGCTGTTCCATTCCTCCCTTGCTCCTTGCGGGTAGGGCGCGCAAGGGGAGCTTTTTTCCTCGAGGGAGGCGAGCCGGCTCGCGTGGCCTTCCTCGCCCAAGTGTCGAGGGACGCGCGCAAAAACGGTGGGACCGAGACCGGCGGTAGGCAGCTATCGTCGTGCCCGCCCCCCCCATTCCCCATCCCCCTTTCCCTACATCTCCCCCCCCTTTCCCCCCCTTTCCCCCCCCCCATTCCCCTCCCATTTCCCCCCTTTCCCACCACTCCCCCCCTTCCCTTGCCCCCCCCCCTCCCCCCTCCCCCCCCCCTTTTCCCCACTTCTCCCCCCCCCCTGTCGTCCAACCCGAGCGGGAAAGGTGAGAGAGAGCTGGAGCACAGGGCAGAGACGGCGGCAGGAGGGGAGGGGGGCTCCTCTCTCCTCTCCCCTCCCCTC